ACTTATGCTATGTATGTGTGTGTGTGATGTATGTGTGTTGTGGGAATGTGTAGCGTGCGTCGAGGAAGCGGTGCGGTGCGTGCGGGCGTTGCGTGCGTGAGCGTGGCGGCTGTTGCGTGCGTGAAGTGAGTCGCCGTGCAGTGCAGTGCGTGGTGCGTGCGGTGGCGTGTGTGTGTGTAGTGTGTTCTTTCTCTCGCTATCTCGCTCTCTCTCTCTCTCTCAGGTCTCTCTCTCTCTCTTCTATCTTCTATCTATCTATCTATCTATCTATCTATCTATTATCTATCCTAATCCTATCTATCTATTTCTATCTATCTATCTATCTATCTCTATACATACATACATACATACATACATACATACATACATACATACATACATACATACATACATACATACATACATACATACATACATACAGATAGAGAGGGAGATAGGAAGAGAGAGAAAGAGAGAGGGAAAAAAGAGAGGAAGAGAACAAAGTAAGTAAATTGAGCCGGTGTTCATTAATGTTTGCAGCTGTAGCTGATTATGGAGAAGGCCGTAGTACCAGCGACGAAGATGCTACACCTAAACACAACAGACGACCAACTACCTGTTGAGGTGCGCAACGCTATGCACCCCTTAACACGAACACCTCCACAAGTACGACGCATCGGACGCGTAACACTGGCGCTAGCAGTGGTCCAGATAGTCCTTGGACTACTGGCGATCATACTGGAGTCTGTCGCCTTATGGATTTATACACGGTTCTCCTACCAGATCGATTATGCCCCGCTGGGGACAGGAGTGTGGTGCGGACTGTTCTTCGTCGTGGCAGGTCTTACCGGTGTTCTAACAGCGAGGAATCAAACGAAATGCTGCGTGATTTCATTCATGGTTCTCGGCATCATCGCTGCATGCTTTGCCGCTATTCTCATTATCATATCAGGCATAAACATTGGAGTAATAGGGCGATGTTACGGCATGGATTCAACGATAACCAAGACTATCACAACCGAAACGCCAAGTCAATACTATCCCGAGGAACCGCCAAGTTACGAATGGGCTTATGGCGGGAAACCAGCGAGTACAACAGTGCAGTACAAACCGCTGACTACTATCCGAATAATGACCGAACATCCGAATCCAGATTATTTACGATGTATCGCCAACAGCGCTACTCTACAAAACATATGCATTGCCATAGTACTCTTCGGCTTAGCTGAAATGATCGTTGCGATATGGTGTTCTGCGTTATGCTGTAAGGTGGCATGCTGCGGCAGCAGAGGCGACGAAGCTGCACAAGTGATAGTTGTCTATCAACCTTACGCAGGGACCACGCAGCCTACTGCACCGCCAGATATCGCGCCGTTCCCAGGCTCAATCACCATGAACCAAAACATCAACACAGAAATCACCTACGACATGCCCTACTACGCAACGGCCGGCCTTCCACAGATACCCACAGAGAAGGCAGGCACTGATCACAAACCCCCACCCTTGCCGCGGCGACCCCACCAAGCGATAGATAGCATGCAAGTGCTATTACTAGATAAGATTGGGCAAGGAGCCGTTGGTACGGTGTATAAAGCAACGGTGCATGACCTAGACGGTAAGGGCGGGCGCACACTTGTCGCAGTGAAATGTGCCACCAGGAATATAATGACTGACGATGTGGACGCGCACGCGCGGCATTGCTTCCAGCAAGAAATACTCACTCTCCAACACGTGCCCCCGCATGGCAACATTATGACTTTACTCGCATACGCCGACGATCCCACCAGAGGGCCGCTATTGATCACGGATTATATGGAACACGGAAACCTAAAGTTGTTCTTGCAAAAGCTATCGAACGTCGAAAATCCTTACCTGAATATGGCAGAGGTTACCTTGCAGCAGGTGGCAGCGTTTGCCTTCGATATCGTCAAGGGGTGTGAACATTTAGCGAGTTTCAAATACCTGAACAGAGATCTCTCAGCGCGTAGCGTTCTTGTTAACGCTAAAATGACGTGTAAACTCACAAATTTCGGCTCGGCGCGTGAAGTTATCGAGTATCGTAAGAAGGTGAAGAAGTCGGGAATCAGAATTCCTGTACGCTGATAATAATAATAATAATAATAATAATAACCTTGTTATTTGTTGCTGATGTTACTGGCGTTATTGCTACGGGGATATATTCGTCTACAGAACCTTGCTGCTCTGTGATAACCCTTTCAAAATATGTCACAATAAGTTTGGTACGTGTTTTAATTATACCAATTTTTTAAATAGTTGTGGCAAAGATGAGTCGACTGCTGGTATAATTTAATATGTGCGTCGTTACGTGTGCTGAGATGAAAAGTCTGTCTTGTAATCGTTAACTGATAAGTTTTGATGAGAGATGGCGCCACTGTGTAACTCTAATCTGCTAGCGGTCGAAGTACTGAGATGTTTATAACATAACATCAAGAGCTAATAAATACCTTATTTATTAGCTATTAAATACCTTAATAAGGTATTTATTAGCTCTTCATAACATCAAGATGCGAATGGTTGGGAAATCTGTGTGAAACCGTGTCGTATTCAAAGAACTTTTTTCAGGTAAATTGGTGGTGTCATATGATTAAGGGAGAATCATAGACAAAAACAAGGTAAAGTTTGAATATATTTATTCACATATTGATAGAATATTTTCAAGTTGAAAACTATGCAAAACGCTGTTAAAACGGTGTCATACTCTTTTCCTATTATCTACTCTTGATAACATTGAGCTGTTATTATATATACAGCTCAATGGTAACCGAACGATCCACACGTTTAATATTGTTCGTACTCGTTCACTACATTAGGGTCTCTACGTAGTTAATGCAATGCTGATCGACTAAGTTGAATTATCCGGCTTATACCAAAATTAAATATAAAATGATGAAATCACCCTATCAAGAGTCCTTAATACTATTTAACAGCCTACTGTATTATCATGAACGCACGCCCGCCCGCATGCACGCACACATACACATACACGCACACACCCACACACGCACACGCACACGCCCGCGCATACACACACACACACACACACACACACACACACACACACACACAC